TCCATCTGCCCAGGGGGCTGGGAATCGAACCCGGGTCGCAGTGGTGAGAGTGCTGCACCTTAACCACTAGACCACCAGGGGCCCCGATGTCTGGTCATTAATGGGACAAGATATGGCTACAGGGCAGCTTTCCACATATATCTACAGATTTGAGAATTAACTATTTCTTACATTCAAAAGACGAGTCTATGCATAAAATCTTTCCACTTAAGGCTACAGCCATCTCCTTTTGTGTGGAAAGGCAAGTAAAACAAATCAGGCTGCATCTCTCTCCACTGTATAACCCTCAAACAGTGGAAGAAGAAAGTGTTTTCATTAGTTTCAAAAAACATCTATGGTGGCATGTAAGCAAACCAAACTTGGATCATCGTAGAAACAGTAGCCTTAACTCCTGCGCTGATCATCATTCACGTCTCTATATTTATAAAAAAACATTTCCTAAATGAAACAGCACCTCTCTCATACCTTTCACCCTTTTTCATACACAGCCTCATACAAATGGGAATACAGCAGCAACTACTTGTCAGTATATAGCAAAAAATAGGTGTTCCAAGAAAGTATGCTCCCCCTGCACCCCCTACTGCTTAGGCTGTATTTTTCTTTCAAGCTACTGCAAGGTCCACAACAGCACAGACCAGACACTGTGCAGCAAACAAGGCAGCTGCTTCATACTCGTGACTACCTTCTTTGAGCAATGGGCTGCCTGTTTACACTCATCCAAACTGCACCCAAAATGAGGCAAGAACTGGCCAGCTCACATCCCGTTTCAGATACTTTCAACTGTGTACTGAATGCAGTATGGTTTGTGCAGAAAAGAAATAAACCAGAACATGGTCATACCTGCAACTCATATCATGATGTGTCCCCCCGAAAAGTGCACACTAAAAACATCAGAAGATACGTATAATTGCTCTGAAGATCACAAATGTAAATAAATATATGAAGCTAAAGGCCAAGTTCTTTGAAACCCCAAAAAAGAGATAGAGATTAACATTACTAAGCAATGGAAGTACAGCAAAAAACACTTCCCTGTTCTCACTTCTATTTCTTTGCACTTTTGCCAGCATACTCAATAATCAGGTTCCCTGCTACCCTTTTATGTTTCCTTCACGGGGTAACAGTGGAGACAAAATAAAAACCTTGACTCATAGGAAGTGGTCAAACTGGTGAAAAACAAAAGTATCACCTGCTGGATACTAGCCCAATTTCACTGACTTCAAAATAAATATTCAAGCATGAAACTCACTATAGGTGTCCAGTTATGAAAGGCATTACGAGTTCTTACTCCACCTCCTTCTGATGCTGTTGAGAACTCTTGTTTTTCAGAAGAAATAAAATGTCAATTCAGTCATGGGTTCTCCATTGGAAGGTGTAGCTCTCACTTCTGGCTCACATATGAAGGAGCAGAAGCATAAAGTACTCACTGTATAGACTTCCAATAATTTTCATAAATACTGTCCCATTATAATAAAAAAACCCCAAACCAAAAAACCCCACATGCACATGCTGTTTGACTGCACTGTTTGACTTTATCAAAAGAAAAACACAGGAAATCAAAGTTCATGCAAGAAAAAGTAAAATACAATGCTCTAAGAGCATGACCAGCAATTTAGTCAGGAGTTTAAATTCAGCTACCCCTTAAAAATAGCTGTGTTTCCCCCATTTTTCTTTCTTTTAGAGTATCTTTTAGCTGAGAATTATTCTTTGAGCTTTTGAAAAGATGTCTTTAAATCTGCCAACCTCTCCTTTCAAGACAAAAGCACAGCATCACTCAACCACATGACAAAGCATCACCTTTCCCATGTGTTTTCTTTATTTGCCCATGTACCAGTATGTATTTTTGTTTCACTCTAGTCATAGACTTGTGATGCTCCATCTCTGTGGATGAGTCACTGAGAGCAAGTTCCCTGCTGGGTAAGTTATATCACAGTGAGGAAAGGGCAAAAGTGTACCTGTCTTCGTGGAAGAGGGGGACACCTAAAGATTGTGCTTTTTCTACAATGTATTCCAAACACTTTAAAAAATATTTTAGAAACAAAGCTGAAGAGAAACATTAGAGAACACTGCATGACAATAACGATAGTCTTCAAAAAAAGCCACTGTCATTAGCTGAGCAACATGTTCCTAGCACAGACACAGAGAATAAATCCTGCCTTTCAGAACCTCAGTTGCCTCTTAGAAAATGAAATGCATTTAACTAATTGTTGTTTAATCTATATCAGCTCTACAACTACTTCACAGAAAGAAACAATGAACATTGGCACAGGTCACAGACCTTCTCCAGAGGTCCACCTGTTTCAGGAAGGCATCTGAACACCTTTATAATAAGATTTTTTTAAAGCACTTAATTGTGTCAAACCTCTGTAATGAAAATTTTGTATCACTGATTTGTCTAAGAATAAATTGTAGGCACCTGTCCACCTTTGGAATTTGCCTCTTTTTTTCCCAGAAAAGTATCTGCGAGTTATAAAACTGTGAGATCTTCACAAACAACCTCCAATAGAACAAGCCCTAAATACAACCAACAAAGAATTCAACTGCTGCTGCACTGGCACCACTTGGTGTGTCAAAAAGCGCATTCTGCAATTTCTGTACTCCCAAAATGAGTTTACCAGGCAGCCTTGACTGAGCTAGGAGGAGGCTGAAAATACTGAGAATACAGTATCACACCACTAGATTTCAGTTTCCCATTGGTTACACTACAATTTCCACATGTAGTTAGTTAGGTAATAATAGACCCTGCCCTACCCCACCCCAGCTCAGCATTTCCACTTGGTTTACCTTTTCAGGGACTTACTCCAGATCACGTATTTTACCATGTTTTACTATCTAGTGTGAGCTCTGTCTGTACAATACTGATTATTTTCTGCCACAAAGACAGTTTGCTGATATTACCTGTCTCACAGTGTTTGAATTTACTAAGCCTGAGAGATGGTTAGACTTTATTACTGGCAAAATATTTCAACAGTATGACTGCCGCAACTACTCAGTTCCCTTAGACTGTTCATTTTAGAGCTTAGAAGAGGGGCTAAAGCTCAGCGACTGCAGACTGGTCCATATCCAGTTAGGACAGGAGAATAGAGTTACACTCTTGTTCTGGTTTTGGTTTAGGTCATGCTTATTTCTAAATTTCATTCCAATCAAAACGACCAGAATCCTCATCAAAGATTTACCTTCTGTGAGAGGTTTAGAGCCTTGTCCAAATAACAATAAGTAGTGTACAAATCAAACGTGCATTGAACCTCTGCTGCTAGGTATGTCTATGTGCATTAGAAAGTATGACACCTTGAGCCACCATGTATGTTTTATTTACAAACTTGGCTTTGCTGTTTCATATTAAAAATCAATACATTCCACGTACACTTCAAGATAAGTTTTCTTTGCCTGACTGTGGATACTTGTGTCAATGAAGGAAACTTCCTCTCCACAGGTTTTATTTGAAACATTGGCTCATTCTATAAAAAAACAACTTCCTAATGAGCAGCTTGGTGAGATTTGCTGCCAAATTATATATTTGACTCAATTTCTGGCAACACTGAATTGCTGATTTTTCTCTAGCTGCTCTCAGGAACCCAGATGCTCAGTCAGCTAACAGGACACTGACAAGGGGAAAAGATCTTGTGCCCCAGAATCCATCAACCGTATGTGCTAGGGTGTTTCTAAATATGGTTTTGACTACAGAGCACAAGAAATACATGATTTGTGTACACACCTGTCCTCAAAAATTTAACGCAATTCAGTGTGCAGACCCTCTACAAAGCTAGACACGAGTTACTGTTCACCCAATGCTTCTTCCCAGTATAAATGAAATCCAGATAAATTCTCTGTAGAACTCAGCATACTCTTCATGAGTTTCACATACAACTGGCAAAAAAACGGACCTTAAAGGAAAGGTTGATTTTCATCAGTAGAAACAGTGGAGAAGCTGTAATAATGACAAAGGCCAGATTTTTACAGCTGTGCCATCTCACCTCAGTTCTAAGAGCTGTGCCTAAGCAAAGGCTTGTGCTGGAGGTGAATTTTAGGTTTCATTTTTTAACACTATAGATGGGACTCTAAAATAGCATCAGGAAAAAGTAGAAAACACTGATTTTCAAATCCTTGCATTCAACATTCTGGGGGTTTTTTGGTTGAAAATACAAGTTTTGCTTTCTCTGACAGAGCTGAAAGCAAATTATTAATGCAATAGGCAGCATGCAGACTAAATGACCTAAGTTTAGACTCTAATCCAAATACCATGTTAGCTTACCTGGGGATTTTTAAATAAAGCATATTTTTCCTTTTTCTCCAAAAACAGAATCTTATTCTCAGTGTCTCGAGTCCAGTCTGATAACACTGCAACAACATTTTCATGGTCTTCAAAAAACCTTTCTGGAGAGATAGAAAAGGTAATGTCAGACATTCAGACTCTTTCTCCCCTCTCCTGAGGCTGCAGAAATTCCTGTGTAAGAATGTAATCATTATCTGATGTTCACTCAGAGTTGGACAGTCCAGCTCTTTTCCACTACACAGACAGGAGTAAAAACACATGAAATTGTGTCACATGGAAGTGCAAAGCAGCTACAGAAGATGTCTTACGTAGCTGTGGCATGCTCCTGGATTCCTCCTGCATCTCTATGCTGTTGCTTCAAGATCACAAAGGATGGAAACGGTGATCCACCAGGAGCAGATGGTTACACTCATGTCTTTCAATGGCTCTCTGCTTTTGTTTGCTTTTGTTTTTTTAAGGTTTGCAGTATGATCAGGGAGGTTCATACTCACTTTGGTGAATCAACTGAAACAAATGTAAAAATTTGTTTCCTTGTCTTTTTACTTATTGGAACAAATGAAAAATTGCTTTTTGTCAGCAGGGAAGAATTCTATGCACTGAAAATAAAATGTTTGGTTTCAAGCAACTGTTTAAAAACACAAATAGAAAAAGAGAGGAAATAGGAAGACAGACTGAGAGCTGATGTGAAGATATACTGGTTCACCCACCATCGCTGTAGCTAAAAACCTTACCAGGGGTGTGGGAGACCTAGCGTCAGTTCTGTCCCTTCCTGATCTGCTCTGAACCCAGGTCCTCCACCCAGGAAAGCCACAGGGTATGCTGAGGTTAGGTGGCTCTGATCTCTTCTTCTGCAGTTTCACTTATATAAAGTAGCTGAACAGTAATATAAACCCCCTTTCAAAGGAAAAGGAATTGAGCATCATTTGATAGGTCATTTTGGAAGGACCCAGCCCGTACTCTTCTACAAATTCAGTAGTGGGATAGGGAATTCACCCAGCTCCAATTTTCAGTATGATTTTGACAGTTCCCTGGGAACAGCTGTACTTCTATTTCAGTGATCTGATGATGACATCTTCCAATGGCCTAGGTTGGCCTAGTGTAAGAGGAGATAACACAGCATACATTTCGTAGGCTTTCTTTAAAACTTCTTGTTCCTTTTGACAAGAGTTCAGTACATCCCATCCAAACTAAATTTTGTGAATTAATTAAATTCACAGAATGGGATTAACTTCAGGACCAGTTCACAAGTAGATGGCAACTTTTAACAACATAAACAACACAACTCATTTAGCAACTCATAATTAAAAATAGAAATAAAAAGCACCATATAAAACTCAGGTAATGATTTGAAGAGTAAATAGTACCTTATAGCCCATGATAGCCATAAAACAATTCTCAGATCATAACACACATTTTTGCCACATATACTTTTGTTTATTTATTTCCCGCACCAGGATTTTCCTGTATAAATGGTGTGATCTTACCATCTTCAGGAGGGTCTTTTTAACAATTGTTGTTACCAAAAAAGAAAAAAAAAGTCAAATCTGGATGCCTATTATAAGGCAATAGTCCTTATTGTAAAATACATGCTGGTATGTACAGGCCAGTGTTATATCTCCATCTCACTACTGGGATTATTTGTGATATTTAACATAATTAATCTAAAACCGTAGTTTATTTTATTTGCAATTATAGTCTTTCAAAATAACAGTATATATAAGATATCTTGTCAAAGATCTTGTGATATAAAACTAGCTTGGACCTTCAGATCAGCATGAAATACTTGCTGCTCAGATTTGCTTCTTAAAGTAAACGTAATTTTTTTCTTTTAAATGCCTGAAAAGCAGGCAGAAAGATGAACTGCAGAAAAGTCTGTCTTCATGCTGATAGTAATAAAGCTATCTAAAACAGCCTAGAAATATACTGACAAGAATAAAGAATAGTTCACATTGTTTTGATTTTGAACAAAATTAACTACATGTTGCTGTGCACTGGAAGCAGAAGAAAGAATATGTACCATTCCACTCATACTGAAATTCCCTTCTGCAAACAAAAAGGCTACATTCCCAGCAGATTTGGACCTGGTAATAGATGTCTGCATCAGGAGTTAATAGATTTTTATTTTTTTTTCCTGAACCAGCTACAGGTTTATTTCCTTTGGTACTTTTCTTCTGTCCTGACTTTTAAAATGATTTTTATTCATTACGAGAGTAATTTCTTACTATACCAATACCCTAACACTAACACAAACCATGAAGCACTAGCTGGGACTAAAGTAACACAAGTAATTTTTATTTACCAAAAAAAAAATAATCTAGCCATTAACCCAATGTTTGTATTATATAATCTCACTGATACCTTCAGTTTTAACTGCATGATGGGAAATCTAAAATGTTTATCCAGATTATGAAGAAACACAAGTCCATTCTTTTTAATGACTCTGGAGATTCAGAAAACAATCTGTTTATGTGCTGTCATCCTAACACTCAGACATGTTTGTCCAAGTCACACTAGACAAAACGGAGCAACTTTCTAAGACAGGAAAACACCAAAATTATTCATTATTATGAGATTTCTAGGGTCAAATGACACTAGCAGTCTTTCCTTAGTTAAGATAAGCAGGTACAAAAGAATGCAGCATCATTATCTTAATCAAGTAGTAAGAACAGATTGGTAGTAAATACCTGTGCCAATCTTACAAGCAGATGAGTGTCTCCTTGCTCATGACCAGTGAGGTTTTTTCCAGCTATTTTTAAATTTCTTTAAAAAAGCATGATTACAGCTGGGGCTCTTTTAAAGTGCAATATTGGTATTTGACTTTATTTGTGCATTTTCACATCTCTGCTAAGGGACTGTAAACTAAGAACATTAAAGGCTGTTTGACCATTTCCCATTTCTCTTGGTCAAATGTGACCCTGAAAGAAAGTTGTGGCAATTTTCCTTTTCCTTTTGATGTCAATACCTTTGCAGTCTGGACAATAAAAATATTCTGAAATAATTCACAATTAGAGAATACTCTGATCTTAATCAAACGTTGAAGCCTTTTTCAAACAAGACTCATTATGTTGCACCAAACAATATGTAAGTTTTGCACACCTATTCCCTAGGGACCTACAGGCCAGGTTAATTACTTCCTAAATAATAACTTAGCCTCAGCAGAGCTGCAGAGCCATCAGAGAGCAATATCCTGTTCACAGCCACACTTTAAGAAAACAACTATCACAAATGAAAAGCATTAGAAATTACTGATATGCTTCTCACAGAGTCTTGTTTAATTACAACATCTGTTTGGCCAGTATGTAACAGCCTGCTGACAGCACTCAAGCACTGCATCCTCTCTTCAAAGAGCAGAGTTGAGTACTGGTGTGTTTGGGCCTGCCACCACCTTGAAATTCACATGGCCCCTCCATTTTTGGTAAAATAGAAGAGTGGAAATGGTGATGGGCAAGGAGCCTTCTGCAGTTCAGAGCACAGCTGAATGGACTCATTTCTACAGCAAGAACAGCTCTATATATTCCTGCAGCATCCCTCAGCTTAGAGTCTGTGATGTTCCAACTCCAGGGGACACAGAGGCAGGAGAAATGTTATTACATTTTCAAGATTACGAACAGCATAGTATGCACCATATCTATTTGCTATATGCCATGTCACTACACCACTTACCAATCTGCAGCTCTGGGTACATTTCATACAGACACCAGTCGACGTTGCAGTCGCAGTGGGTTTTCTCAAAGAGATTGTCTAAAACATCCCGTGTCACCTGACGTTCATCCACCATCAGGGACTTTGTGCTGTTATCGTACATGTGCACCTTGATAACGAGCTGAGCAGAGTCACAGAAGAGTCAGTTAACTTCAGAAGCAAGAAAAAGGCTAGTTTGAATCTGCTAACACAGATAAGAAAGATTAAGGCTGAAGGTTATTACTGATTCAAAGGCACCCTGTGTCCCACAGCGAGCTTAGGGAATAGAACAGCTTGGAAGTTTTCCCATTATATTGCTACCAAAATAAAGACCTTTTCTCAAAAAAGAAAACTGAAGCTTCTCCTCTGCAAGACTTCAGGAAAGGTGAAATTGCTAGGGAGAAAAAGCAGAAGCTAATCTCTTCTTTACATCTACTACATGTGCAATTAAGGAAAATGCTTGATAGGGAAAGCAAGTACAAAAGGACAAAGTACAAAAGTATTCTTAATGTAAGCTAGAAATGTGGAAAGCTTAGTTTTAAATGAGAAAAAGAGCGTGCAGTTCTTTCAGAGGAACAACACAAGAAAACACTGAAGTATGTAAAATGTGAAAAAACTGCAAATACATTATAAGGAAAGTACTTAAAATGCTCCATTAGTATTGAAAACAGTAGAATAATTCTCTACAGGGTCTGTACATGGAAACTGGAACCAAACTGGTGAATTGGGAGGACTTTTCCATACACTCCTGTTTAAATAGCTCCTTATTTTAAAATGTGCACATAAGAAGCAAAGTCTGCCCTCCTGAAGTCCAGGGCTGTGAGCCTGCTTTTCACTGTCCTCCCTGGCCTCTGTTCTCCACTTTTGGTAAAAGAGAGAAGATTAGTCTTCTTGACAATTACTTAATCAATTTAGAATTCAAGAATGGCACAGTAATGTCATTATAGTGACATGGCCATAAGATTGAGCCCTACTGGGTGGGAAAAAAAATGGGGGGAGGGGAATCTCCTAAAGGAGAATTGCTAATATTGCAAGGAAAAGGGGATGACCAATGAGCAATCTTAATATTTAACAAAGGTCAAGAAATGGTGAAATCCTCCCAGTACATTCTCACAGAAGTAGCATTTCTACATGAACGTGAAGTGTTCTCTGGGAATCATCTCAAGTCTTGACAACCCCAAATTTATTGGATGCTTCAATTATTCTTGGAAGCCCTGCAGGCTCTGATCTTCAGCACTTCCCATCTTCTGTTTGAGCAAGACTGAAAGGTCATGATTGTTTTTTCTTCACATCCATTTTTCAGGGTTACTGAACACCTGCAGCTCCTATTGAGTTCAGCTGGAACACTAGTTTAGGATGAGTGGGCATAATTAGATGACACACTGCAGCAGTGTGCAGACACTGGCTGGAAGTTTTCTAATTTGTTGGTCTAAGATAATTTCTATTATCCTTGTACATAACTACACTGCTGTGAAAAGATTTAGCAAGAAGACCCTCATTAATTTAATAGGGTTTAGCTAAATCCACATCCACTATAGAAGTTTAATACTTCTGAAACTAGCACAGCATAAGTAAGCAACATTTTAATGTACATTCCACTTTCTCTAAAGCAACCTATCAGAAGTGTGCTTTGCCCAGGCATTAAAAAAAAAAAAAAAAAAAGGCACAGTTTTCCAAATCATCCTAAAAATAAGTCCCTCAGGTGGATAAGACAGTTCCAGAGAGTATCTTTACAGATAGAACATGAAAAAGCCTAGTCACTTGAATAAGAACTTTATTATTAAAAATTATGATAATAGATACTTAGCTAGTAGCTCTTATGGTAGCATTTACTATTTTAAGGCTCACCTTTTTAACTTTGGCTTCCTTCAGTTTCTCTAATGCAAGTTTAATCTTGTCAGCTTTGGCCCGTGCCTCTCGTTCTTCCTGAAAAGATACAAGATACTTGGTGTATTTCTTGTTAAGTAATGCAGCAATTTATGTTTACTTGAAAAGAGTTGTTTCTTGTTATTTATACCAAGAAGGTAAGGCTTGCCATGGGAAATTTCATAGATACAGGGAATTCCTAGCTTTCCTTGAGCTAATATCCTCCAGCCAACTTTGATTTACAAGTTCAGTGCTTCCTTTTGTTGCCCACTTATACAGTTCTTGCATGATCTGTCCCTCAAAAGCTACAGGAATGCCTGAAAACTGGACTCTTCTATGTTTCTGCACGTATAACTGATACAAAACAGGAGGTGAAGGAAGACCCAGCCTAAATGAAAAAGCACTGTGGAAGCAGCTGCTTGGAAGAAAACTCACTTCTCAATAGGGTTAAGAGAACTAGAGTTTTTAGGATCTTACTAAAAATTTGGCTTGGAATTATACGACTTATAACTTTATACTTTCTGTTAAGTACATTAATTTACTTGAATTATTTCACTGCCACATGAGCTCTTACTGCATGGATACTTACTGAGAGGAACAGCTCCTTCAACTAGATGACATGGTTTTTTATTCTACTAATGGACCTATTTGTATTAACACAGACACAGCTAGATAGTGCTCAAGTTCATTCCAGCTTTTGTTGAATGCTACAGTAAGATTCCCAAAAACCTCTGTATCACTCGGCTCTTTTTTTTAAAGAAGCTGTTATCAGTACCATGCCTCTCTCTTAATACCAGTGAGGTTTGTGGTCCAAGAAGACTCTGGATCCCCAGATGCTGAGAGTTTTAGGTACATATACCAAATGCCAGTGCCTACTGTTGCCTCTGTGCCTACTGTATTGGTTGTGACCATTTCTTTTTGCCATCTGTCTTCCAGAAGTCTTCTCCAGTAACATACAGAGTTGGAAAAGCACATTTTGGACAGCAAGTAACTGTGGCTCCTGAGGCTGCCTTGGACTCTTGGTACTACTGAAGGACTCTGTTCCTTTCCAACTTTACATCCCTGCTGCCTCAACTGAAAACTGTCTTGTCTTTGTCTTCTTGCCTCTTTGCTAATTTTCGCTGTCCCTGTTGTTCTCTCATACTTTCAGTCTCCTTTGGTTTAAAGGGGTAGGACCAGCTATGGTGCTGACAGGCACCCAACTTCCAGTCAATGACTGTGGAAGGAAGTTCCTGCCCTGCTTCTACACAAGATTTTTCTGTTATCTTCAGCCTCCATTTTCTACACTACAGTCATAATTTTACTGGTCTTCATACTAGGAGAACTGATTGCAACTCATGGAAGATGCATTTTCAAGAAACTTGGCCTAACTAAGCATTGCCATCACTTCTCTGTTAGAGAGATATCATAGAATAATAGCAAAGAAAGAGCTAAGAAGGTTAACTTATTCATCTCAAGTTTTGAGGCAGGTTCAACCAAAACTAAAGTACTCCTAACTGATATCCCTTTTGCTGAATTAAACATCTTTTGCTTTATCACCATTTCAAACATGCTTCTTGTTGCCAAATTCTATCAATACCAGACAATCAGTTAAAAATAAATTTGGTTTTTTTTTTTTTCTACACAGGTACCGAAATTTGCATTGCTACAGCTCAGCAATGCTTAACTTAGAGAATCCAAATAATCTTTTGTAGTTGAACAGAAGTTGTAGGGAAGGAAGAGCCTCTCACACTGCGGCCCTCCCCTTATCACCCTTCTTCAGGAAGCAGAAAAAACATCTTAACCAAAGTGGTTGAGTGGGGCATGGGCAGATTTTCTGATGAAAATTTTAGGCAGGTATAACTCAGGCTTCACCTGCATGTGACCTGTGTTGAACTGAGTTCACACATTGTACAAATCTGTGCATCAGAGCCCTCACCTGAGAGCCTTCATGTTTTCATAAGCTTTGTCTGACTAAATGTAGAAAAAGAAAATAAGTTATCAGATGCAAAATTTTAGCACTGTTAGAGAAATGCTTTGACAAGCTACAAGATTTTTTTTTTCCTGCTACAGTATCATCACCCCATTTTCTGGAATCTTTAAACAGAAACATATAAAGTCATACAAATAATGCCACAAAAAATGTAGAAGGCCTTATTTAGCTTAAAGACAGTTGTAAAAAGAAATGACAGAATTGATGGAAATTTATGAGACACCTCTATGCTTCCCTGAAAGAAAGGCTGTACTTCTTAATTTTGGCACACTTAAAGGTTAGAGAACAGACTTAGTATCACAGCTACATTGGGAATAACTAACACTATTCTTATTTGGCTACAGCAACCAGAAGTGTTAGACAAAACTTCAGCCTTGATTGGCTCAAGAATCACTTTTCAAGAATCCTGCCTTACAGGAACATGGTTTTGATGATTCCATTTACAGCTGAATTTCATTTTACTAAGCAGAAATGTCATGTCAAAGCAAATACTAACCAAGACAGTGAATATTAATTTGAGATCAATTCTTTCCATATTAATTTTAAATGGTTATTACCTCCATCATTCACACTGCAACCTGTGTAAGAGCCCTGTAGGCAATTTTGTGGACACTATGCCACAGTGGGTATGTCATCAGTATTTAAATACAACACGTATCATAAAATGAGGCAAAGGCTGCAGGAGAAAGCAGAATCAGTGCTCTAATGAGGAAATCATCTACTGCAGACATATTCCTTAGAAATGCTTCTACCACCTGCTCCCATCCTTCTCTGTCCCACTCCCTGTATCTGCAAAGAGATCAGACAATACCAGTAGATTTAACTTGGCACTGTTTCAGAGGAACACTTTAATTGAGGGAGAAGTGACTTTAGGCTACGTTTTTTCATATAGAATTCCAGTTGTGTTTAGCAAGTGTATCCTCTTCTCACTCTGAAATCTTGTTTGACCCTCAGGCAATACAAGATGCCAGCTAACAGACATTTAGTTCAGTGCAACACCAATGGGAAAGAACTGCAGTTAATTTCAGTGAGCTTTAGATCACAGCATCATAAAAACGCTGTTTGGAAGAGAGGTCTGAAGGCCCACAGCCAGTCTCCCTACCCAAAGCAGCACTAGATCAGGTCAGCCACGATGTTCCTTTGCAAAGTTTGGAAAAACTTGAAAGACAGAGAATCTGTGATCACCAGATCACAGCATTACACCACCATATGAAATGGAAAAGGTTTTCCTAATGTCCTGTCTGAAACTACAAAGCTACAACTTGTACCTGTTACCTAACATTGCCATAGAAGAATTTGGTTCCACCAGTTTGCATCTACCCTTCAGGTATTTTTAGGATGTCATTAGATCACTCCCCAGCCTCCTCTATCAGATTAAACAAGCCCAGCTCCCTCAGCCTGTCCTTGCTGGGCCCTGATCACTCCCTGCCCTTGGCCATCCCATTAGCTCTCTGCTAGACACTCTCCAGTATCTCCACATCTAGAGTGGAATGCAGTATTCCAGGTATGGGCCTGTCAGTGCCAAGAGAAAGGAATAATGGGTCCCTTAGTTTGCTGGCCATACTCCTCCCAACAGAAGCCAGTTTCCCATACTGAGATGACTTGCACTCATGGTTCTTATTCACTGTGGTATCCACTAGCATGCCGTCTCCTCTTCACTAGGGCTGCTGCTCAGCCTGTCATCTCCTAAACTGTACAAATGTATGGGGTCATTACACCCCAGGCACAGGACCTTGTACCTTGCTGGGTTTCTGAGGGTTTTGCTGGCCTAGTCCTCATGTTTTCAAGGTCCTCTCGCACGAAATACCTGCCATTCATCTTGTCAATCAGTGCCCTTAACTAAAAGCATCTACAGCACATCTGCAGGTGGGTTTTTATGTCATCACTCAGGTCACAGATAAAAACGTTAAAGTATACAAACCCCAGTGCTGATCCCACTTGCTACCAGCCAGCAAACCACTGACTACCAGCCCTTGAGTCTGGCATTTTGACCAGTCTAAGCCCATCTAACCAGCTGCCCTTCCAAACTATACTTGTCAGCTTCCAAACCAGACTATTAAGAAGGTTGGTACTTCCTTGAAGGTATAAATCAAGATGGGGACATATTTGTGAGACAATGGATAGAGCTGAGCTTAATAGCATCTCTTCTACATCAATTATACTAGTTAAATAAAAGACTTCATCTTATAAAGCTGCCTAGCTGCTGCTTTTTCAAATGTTGATATTCCTTTAAGACAGGAAGTTTATTATCTTTGAGATGCAAAAAAATGGCACAGTTCCTCTCACATGAAGACTTTCAGTCTTCAAACAGCTCTGAAAGGTCCTATGCATCAAATGAAGCTTTACCCAGTGAATCAGTTTTTGTATCATCAGAAATGTCCTCTTCCCACCCAATTTTCTGTTCCTTTTGCTGAATGTCTGCTGTATGATGCCAAACACAGGGGAAGCAGTGATGTAGAGGTGACTCATATTCAGTCCGTGTGGACTTCTAAACAGTAATGAATTGACCATGGTTTTAAGCAAAACTGACTGGTACAGTTCTACATGGGCTGACTGAGCACTTTTCACGTTCCCCAAAATATTTCCATTCCCTAAATGCAAACATCTTATCTCTGTCATAGTTACTGCACACATAAACACTGAAAAAGATGATTTCATGTTTTTTGGGCTGCATCACTCTTCTAATTCTAATGCACACACTCTCCTCACAGGGCTGTGACAAGGCAGAATTCTTACATTACCTACCTCTCCACAACCTCACATCAAAGAAATTAACTTCTAAAGCTTCTACTAGAAATATCACATTTGATTTCAGTTGTTCAGCTCTGTAGAAACACAAACAGGGAGGAGGTTGTGATAAATCTGAAAACTTTGACACAGGTAAGCCAATTGTTTATGGTTACCTGCTGATAACTTTAGCACCTCCTAAGTAAAGGGCATTTGTCCCCTATTGCAGATGGTCTTCATTACTTCCTTTCAAAGACAAGACCAAGAAGAGCAGAGTGATTCTGTGTTAGGATTAGGAGAGATACTTCTTGTGCTCAGCCTTACACCTGATCTCCTACCAAATGCTGAATATCACATAACTGAACAGCTTTTCCTATTGCAAGAAATCACTTAGGCCAGGGATGGATCTGGGAAACATCTGCAGAACTGTCTTATCAGTACCAGTAGCACAGACTGCTCTGAATGAACGCAGTGACACCTTCACAAAGTGGAGGGATCTTTGGCCATGTTTTGCATTGATGCCAAAGCCAAGTTCTCTATAAGAAGATATTAACTGATCAGTGATTCTTAAAAATGTTCAGTTATAAATTTTCTGTTACAATAAACCCTTTGCAATGATTTATGCCTGTATTGGGCTATCAAAATGATGATTAGAAAGGTGAAGGAGTGGACAATAGGTCAAGGAACAGACAGAAACTGCTCACAACAGTAGAAATCCCACTCCACAGTTCATGGATGTCTCATCATTGCAGAGCTTTCCCATGATGTATCTACCTGGGATATCCACAAGCTTTCCAGTGCCAAACATCACTTGCAAAATTATAAGAACAAGTGAATGCTTAGAATAAGGTTCCACCCAGACTTACCTGGGTAAGTGGCTCAGAAGGAGGTGGAGGAGGTGGTGGTGGAAGGTCTAAATCAGGGTCTGGAGGTGGAGGGGGCAGGTCATCCCCAGACTGTCCAGTAATGGTAACATAGAGACTTGATTTAGAACAAATGTCACTATCCAAGCCTGTTGAAGGCTGAGCGACTGTACTTTGCTGGTTGCAAGAAGATTTCTGTGCTTGTAAAGTTCTCTGTTCAACCTCATTTATGTCTGCTACAAGATCAGCCATTAAAGCATCCAGGTCTTTGTCCTCTAGGGCATTTAAGGATTCTGAAAAGAAAAACACAAAGTGTGTCAGAGTGAGTGCAATGCAAAACACTGTTTCCGGTTCCGTGGAGATTAAATTGCAGAAGGCATGGTTACTGTAAGGTACAAGGGTTATGGGAAAGGAAACATTTTACATGGGCTGGGAAACAAATGTGCTTTAGGAATAGCCATTAATCTGCTCATACTGAAGTTCACAGTACAAGGAACTCTATGAATATAAACTAAATCAGACAGGAAGCTTCAGTTCCAGTGATACAGTCTCAGGCCCTTATGATGTTATAAAACATGATCCTGATTCAGCAAGGTCACTGGGTACATGCTTAGTGATATGGGTGCAAGACATTCCATTAGCTCCCATTAGGCTTTTCACTTAAGCACATAAATGCTTAGCGAGTTTTGGTATAGCAACAAAATGTGTAATTGAGGCCTAGATCAAGAATATCTTCATATATTACTACTATTCTACAACTCTAAAATTAGCATGAAGCAAAATCAAAAAACTCTAAGACACAAGAAATTGTATAGTATCATTTGTAGCACATCAGTAATTGTGTGATCAACATTTGTGACATACCACATGGGTGGTATGTCACACATAGGCTTTTGAAGATCCTTTAAGCAAAAAGCAAACGAGACCATCTGTTTTAAAAGCATCTTATAAATCAGAGAGAAATATTGTAACTTTTTCCTTCTGTTTTCTACTCTGACAGAGTATAAGATAAAATCCTATACTGGAACTTACTACGTAATTTCTTTTGTAGTTTGAACTAGTTGTGATGTAAGAGGTACTGTAGAATAAAACCCTTGTAGGATGATTTAGCTTTCTAGAAGACAAGGTTTTTATAACATCAAACAGATTTTGCAGTTTAAATTTCTTTAAAGAGTGTAGTTAAAAAATAAATAAATCACAAATTGAGGAAACTTTTAAGTGAGATTTTGAAAATGGATGGAGAATGCTGAACTGGATACTGACAAATGCTTAAATATTCCAATAAACAATAGATTATTCATCAGACTAAGTGTGAATATGCCACTAGACCATCTCAATTTACCCTGCTTTACCTGTTAACAGAGTATTTAATAAGTTTTTCTCTTCAGTGGGAAAGATGGCTTATGGTCCTCTGTATTTACATAGTTCTACCCAATTTGCTGGTAGAGTCATTAGGAAACCTAACAGAGAACTGATCCCGGGACAAAACGAAAGGTTAGCACCAACTCAGGCAAATGCAAACAACCAGCCCCCAGTAAAACAAAGGAGGAAAAAAACACAAAAATCCAGCATGCACAAAATCATAGGGAGTGTTCTTTTTTTAAACTCGGATACATTCCCTCATTTGGTTTGTCACACAGCATCAACGAGCAGCTGTACTTGCAAAAGTGGCAGTGCAAACCAAAATGAGAATAAGCAGTGTAAAGTGGAAGCAGTGGAAGCTGAAACTTCCACTGAACAAAAATGCTTACACAGTTCTGACATCACACTGAGGAACTTTGTCTTCTATCAAGTTAAATCTTTATATTAAAAAGGTTGCATTTGAGGAAGTTATTTGGGAGACTTCTCATTTTTGTTTTCCTCTACACCCAGACCTTTTTAAAAGTCTGATTCTTGTTTAGACTGAGTAACGCCCCAAAAAATTGGCCCCTTTCAAGTTTCCTAAATTGAGACAAACAAATATACCTCCCTCTCCAGCAAAACAGGGTTCTTTTGTTTGGTTTGGGATTTTTTTTGATCAAGGGTATGTAAAGATTTTCTTCTCATTTGTTGCTGTGAGCTATGTTAAGTAAGCATAAAAGGCATGAAAGAGTCCATTCAGCTACTTACCATTTAAATCTTTAAAACCAACTGTAAAGCTGAATTGGTCGTTGGACTCTTTGGGGGATGGAGGTGGTACAGTCTCCACTCCTAAACTCTGTTAAGGTAGAAGAAAAAAACAGGTATCTGATGATATAATTACTATTACAGATATTAACATTTCTAAATCAATTATCTGAACTTATCTAATGAAATCAATTCTTCTTCAAGGAACAGAATAACACAAACTGGTTTCTAGGATTATGCCTAAACAGGTAAACTAACTAGGGCCAAGCACTGTCTCACAATCATGTCCAGGGTTTTGCATGCTTCTCAATCCCATGTTGATCCATGACAACAGCAACTCTTGTCACCACACCAGCAACACCTAGGCTTGGTGCGGGGAACAGCAGAAAACAGGACTGCTTTTAATCCAGACAGTGGACAAAGTCAGACTGAGTTTTAGCTTTCTTTAGCTTTTTGGGGGAGGGTGAGAAAAGAGCTATGTACATATTTAAGCTACAGTGTCATTTTCTCTCCAGAGTGTTTTATTTACCAATATAAATGTAACCTAGCTGTTGCTTTCTTCTGCTCTTTGAAAAAAAAACAAACCCAAACCCAAATACAACAAATGAAAAGACACGCTGTTGCAATGTAAATGTGCTTAGTTAAATAGAGAATTCCTAGTTTCTGGCAGAAAAGCCCAAATCTGAACTTGCATTTCTTTTTCAGCCTTGTTATGCAATGTAAAGGTATCTCTGTGTGCTTCTATCATTTACACACATTTTAGGAACACGCAGATTGGTAAAAAAGTGTGGAAAACTATCTCCACTCTTGGTTTGGAATTTAAGAGTCTAAAGAAATTAAGATCCAAGTCTGTTAACTGAAAGTCTTCAGACTTTCAGACAGGCCTGTCTCCTTCTCCTATATAATGCTGATGTAAGAGGTGATGCCAGAACTTTGGAAAGAAGGAGTCAGTCTCCATCTTAGGAAGACTCTATTCCATCAGGTAGTGCACTGGTGAGCAGAGACACAAGAGGCTCACTCTGTTGGCATCACCTGCACTCATAACAGTGCTATGTCCAATCCGAGGAGGTAACATTTATCATAAGCAGTCTTTTGTTAATTTTCAAGGCATAATAATAACATGAAATTACCATAAACCCCCTCCTCTTTATATATTTAGATATATGTATAAATAAAATACACACTATTATAAAGAGCCCTTCAAGAGCACAAAGGGCCAAAATGTTGTGATTTGACAGCTAAGAATGTCATGTGAAATCTTGGCTTTCACACAGTTTAAACACAATTTCTATTCTGAGGCTCAGAATTATTGGTATCTAATTTGTCAAGCACTGAGATTCACCAAGAAGAAAGACCCCCTCAAAACAGAGGCTGTAAATAGACTCACACAGAATCCAAGATCACAACTTAAGTGTTTTTGAGCACGCATTTACTAAAACACAACAATATTATTGTCTCTGTAGGGTTTTTTCCTAGGAATAAAAATTATCCTTTCATTAGGTTATGCAGGAAGTGACTAGAGCTTTAGAAAAAGTTCTTTTATACTTTCCTCTCAAGAGTGTATTCTACACTGGCAATAATATCTCTGTAAATTCTTGAATGCCACCCTAGCTGTAACTTAATATTTTGCCATATATAAAGATTATTTTTATGTATACATTCAAAATGTTGCTTTCATTTCCAAAGTTCACATTTGATACTCAGGCTACATCCCATTTACCCATGTATGCAAAGCATTCAAGTCTGAAAATACAGACTCAGACTCTTCCTGTTATGACAAAATCTTTCAATTTCTTTGGACCAAGTCCAGAGGAATTTAAATTGGTGACTTGGAGTTTTTTTGAGAAAATGTCTTTCGTAAGCAATTAGCTCTCTTTAAGAACCTACCCTGCACTGATATTACCTTCTACTTCAGGCCACTTGTTTTAACTGTCAAGCAGGAAAATTTAGTTGAAGGTTTTTCAAAATAATATATTTGTATTTATTCAGAGTGGAAGTATATGAAAAATGTAGAAAATTTACTTCTTTTCCCTGACACATAATAGCTATTTCACTAATTTTGATGGGAAAAAAAAAATTATTTACCTGGGTCAGCATATCCATCTCCCCAAGCAAATTGCTGAACATTTCATCTATATCATCACAGGTTTGCTCCATCTGAAAGAAAAAAATCCACAGGCAGAAAGTCATCAAAAGTTCATTTTCAAGGCCAGCAATGGTCAAAACCAGAAGACAGGCAATGTTCTTTTATATTGTGTTCACAATTAACTTTAAAACAATTGTTCATGACTTGCAAAAACATGAATCCATAACTTAGAAGTAACTACTAACAGATCAGACTCTCAATATGCTTAAACACACACTTGGGATCTACACTCATCAGAAGTTCCAACAATCTCCTTATATTATCTATATTTCATAGGAAGTCACTAGCTAATAAACCATGGTTGTATCTTACACATCAAAGAAATGTAGCCTGTGAGAGATGGAGAGGGAAACAAAGTTTAAGGTTGAGAAATTTCTGCATGTTTCATCTTGAAACCCTTCTTTCTTTGGCTTAGACAGCTATTACTACAGGAGTTTACTGGGTGTCATCCAGGGCAGGACCTGGCTATGGTTAGGTACTTGACCAACATTTGGCTCAATATTTCTTTTTTTTTTTTTCAAATATCAGTGCACTGAGAGAACTCCAGTCTTACCTAACCTGAAGATACCTGAGGGTCAGCACTGAAACAAGGGAAATGGGTACATGCTGCATGACAGTAAATGGTTGTGCTTGTTGCAAGAGGGCAGGGTGAGGACAGGATTGCACACTGGTGGTGCTGAGATATGGCAGAGACACAGCTTCTGTAATAATCCTCTTCCTCTTTAAATTTGTTCCTTTGCAGGGAAAGAAGCACTGTAAAAAGGGTGTCTGACATGGAACATTACTAGAGACAAGAATTAGAAACATGATTTTTCTTAAGAGGCTCAAGCCTCCAAGGGACCGAGAACTGTGGCATTGATGGCATAAAACCAGGTGTCAAACCAGGGCCGAACTTTAAACATTTAAGTAGCCCTACTGGTTCACTGGGTTTGTGTGCACCTGTGTTGGGTTTACGTGGCTTCTGTGAGAAGACACCAGGAGCTCCCCCATGTCAGAGAGGGACAGTGGTTCAAGTTGGCTCCAAGATGGAGTTCACTGGCGATGCTGGTGGCATCTCTGTGACAACATATTTAAGAAAGGCTAAAAAATGCTGCACAGCAGCTGCACGAGAGCAGTGAGAAAATGTGAGAGAAATAGCCCTGCAGACAGCAAGGTGAGTGTAGAAGAAGGGAGACATGTTCCAGGTGCCAGAGCAAAGACTCCTGGGCAGCCCATGCTGAAGCTCATGGTGAAGCAGCCCATGCTGTTCCCCCACAGCCCACAAAGGATCCTGCTGGAGTGGATATCCATAAACTGTACCTTGTGGAAAGCATCCAAGTTGGAGCAGTTCTTGAAGAATTGCAGCCTGTGGGAAGGTCCCACATTGGAGAAGTTCATGAAAGACTGTCTCCCATGGAGGGCCTCCATGCCAGAGCAGGGAAACATTCCCCATTCCCCTTTGCCACTTGAGTGGGAAGAAGCAATTGTCAAGTGATCTCTGTCCTTATCTCAAAACATGAGCTTTTCATTGTATTTTCTCTCCATGCTCTGCTGAGGAGGGAAAGTCATAGAACAGCTTGGCAAGCAGCTGGTAGCCAGCCAAAGTCAACTGACCGCAGCACCTTACAGGATGAGGACCAACCTGATGCAAGAAAGCAATCAACTGAGGACAGAAGCAACTCTAATGACAGTAAAGACTGGCAGCAAAAGAAGACCAGCAAGTACACTATTCTTTAATCTTAATGCTTTTCCTTTAATAGAGCATCTTGAGCCACTTAACTATTTCACAGTTAAATTATAAAGGCCACTGAATCACTAAAGTCAGTATCTGATGTTTGAAAATCATTTGGTAACACATCTGTAACATGACAATACTGGAGCAATTTGAGCTACTCTACTTACTTTGGACTTCATCTTTCTAGTATCTATGTAAGCATGATCGGCTTAATTTCCACTTGTCCTCTTACCACCTGTATTATTCCTGGCACCAGAACTCACTAGGCATAGGCATGTACAGCTTTCATCAGTCAGGCTCAGGGTACAATCTACCTCCTTTAGACCTTTTTTGTAGCCAGTGTAACTAAACAAGGCACAGGCAACTGACAACTGAACTTTGAACTTTCATATTTCTCTCAGATCCCAGAAATCAAAGATTTAAGAACTGGATACTGTTAAAGACATTTTAATAAGATGTGGTTGTCAGGGCTGAGGGTAACCCTATCCCAACACTGGAGATGGCACAGCTATGCCAATGGAACAGGGAACACACATCACACAGCACTGAGCAAATGGAGAGTTAAAGTCATCTTTTTGCTTCATTTCCAGCTGACTAATCCACACTGGATGGCTCCCTCTCTCTGTATCACACTTACACGGAGCTTTGCATATAAAATTCTGTTTCTGTAGATTCAGCAGTATGCTGGGTGGCATATGATTACTGAATCTTAATTCATTTATTTGAATCAACAGCTGTGCAGCTTCCTACCCACCTGGTACTTGGAGAATCAATTTTCACAGAAAGGATAGATAAAATGGCACTTATTTGATCAGGGAGAGTGAAGATACATTTGTTATGTGACAAAAAATGGAGCTGCAGTTCATACTGAGAAGTATCTCATCAATGTTTAAATAATACTGAATAATTTTATGTTTTCCTGTTTTCTGATTTAGGAGATCAAAATATCTTCTAAGGAAATCTCATCAGTTCTAGCTATTTGTATGTTTTTGAGGGTTTTTTTTAAGCACTAGTTAGATCAACTTTCGGGAAAAGGTCTTCATACAATTCTTTTGACAAACTGAAATTCTCCTTTGCTGTATTTTTTCAGAACAGGAATATAAAAATGACAAAAAATTACTCAAGTTGCAACCAGTTGCAACCTCTTATCAAGAGAAGGAGTAAGAACTGTTTAAAAAGAAAAAAACAGTTGTTGACAAAAAAAACCCCTAAACAAAAAGGCAAGAGAACTGAATATTGGACTATACACGACTTTTCACTAAATTACAGGATTAGTAGAGGTTCCAGTAAATTTGGAGTTCCTTCTTTCCAATTATATGATTTTCTGAATCTTCAGACACATTTGATTCATAAGAAAAATGTAATCCTATGAAAAATCAATGTGCAAATAATTCTGTAAGAATTTTCACTGTTAAACTGGAGCTGAGTTAGTCACTGATGACTTTTCCTCACTGACGTCTTCAAAATGACATTTAATACTTGGGGTTTTTTAACCTTAAGCAAGTGGTGGAAGGGAGAAGGCATGAACATATATTTTGAGAAGGAAATGTGTCAGTGTCCCTTTCCAGTGTCATTTTTAATGAACAGACATCCACCATCACTAGACAGATAAAATCATGTTGTCACCAAGCCATTGCCTCTACTGGTGTCTTTATCTTCTCTTGAATTTTTATTGATTGGGTTTAGGAAAACAAAATTACTATTATAATTAATGAATACTCTGGAAATATTTTTATATTAAAACACACTGAATGATCTCTTAAACTGATACGAGAACTCTACATATTCATCAGAGATTTTGTCAAGAACTAGAAAAACAAAAGACAATAAAATGAGTCCCCATAGCATGGAACTGCAAAAGAGTGTCCATCCACTCTCCTTCTCTTTGACTCCTCTCCACTCCTTTCCATTTTGTTTATTTGATTGCCACAATAGGAACAAACAGACAAAACAATCTGCAGATTTGGAAACTATCCCACTGGATGTTGCTCCATTTTGGACCAGAAATTCAAAGTGAAATGTACGAGCTATTATTAACAAAAAAAAGGGAAAAGATTTACCAAAGTGCTCAGAAGAATATTGACTTTCATGCTCAGTCACAGAATATGCTGAGTTGAGTTGAACGGGACCCACAAGGATCATCAAGTCTAACTCTTAGCCCTGCATAGGACCATCCCCAAGAGTTACATCATGTGCCTGAGAGTATCATCCAAACATTTCTTAAACTCTGTCAGGATTGGTGCTGTGACCACTTCCCTGGGGAGCCTGTTCCAGTGCCCAACCACTCTCTGGGTGAAGAACCTCTTTCTATTATCCAACCTACACCTCCCCTGACACAACTTCAGGCCACTCCCCCAGGTCCTGTCACTGGTCACCACAGAGAAGAGATCAGTGCCTGCCCCTCCTCTTCCCCTCATGAGGAAGTTGTAACTGCAATGAGGTCTCCCCTCAGTCTGCTCCAGGCTGAACAGATCAAGTGCCCTCAGCCACTCCTCATACAGCTTCCTCTTAAGGCCCTTCACCATCTTCATTGCCCTCCTTTGGACATTCCCTAATGGCTTAATGTCTTTCTTATATTGAAGTGACCAAAACTTCACACAGTATTCAGTCCTCCTCTACAGTAACTTTTCTGTCAGGTTTTTCTCTATTTAGTACTAATACCAGGAACTCTTAAAATCACTATCTACTACAATAAACTGAAGACAAAAAAACCGCCCAGAACAGTACTTTTACAATAAGTTTTCAAGGTTATACATAAGATTGTATGCAGAGAAAAAAAATCAGAATTGAAATAAAATGAGGAAATTATGGTTGTCGCAAATAAACATGCTAAGGAGGGCCTTGTGCAAAGGCACGTATGTGAAACCTAACCTATTTTTAAAGTGCTTGATTTTCAGACTGATGTCTTCTAGACCACTCTTTGAAGTCACACCAAGCATACAGTCAAAGGTATTCCTTGTCTTTTATTTCCCCAGACTTTCACATTCTCAAATTTTCACTGAGCTCTCATAACATTTTCTTAAATTTCTTTTACTTAATAGTCCCACCTTTCTCATACTGTATATATCTAACAGGTTGGGACATTTTCTCTTCAGCTTGCTATTCTAACCACCAAGTCTCACTGTTTACATATATTAAACCCTCACAGGTTTATTTAATACGTAAGTATTGACTCATTGTATTTTGACTCATCAGTTCACCCCACCATTTACCAGAAGTCCTTCAGACATGCTAAATCTATTAATTTTTTTTAACTTCCCAATTTCAGACTTAGCAGTCTCCTTACTGATAAAAAGA